AGAGAGAGAGGGAGAGAGAGAGGGAGAGAGGGAGAGAGGGAGAGAGAGGGACAGAGGGAGAGGGGGTGGGGAGAGAGAGAGAGAGAGTAACCAGGCAAAGACAAGAGGCGAGAAATCATTCTAAATAGAAAAAAATCTCAAGTTCACTCTGTGGTAGAAGGAAAGCTCAAGAAAATGAAAATGACTAGAGAACAAGGTAAAGAAGTGGCCAGATAATGCTCTGGTAAGGTATCTAACTTTTGTTTAAGAGCAACAAGAAATCTGAAAGGGCAGGGACTGTACTGGGGGCAGCATGTATGTGATTCAACACGGATTTTTAAAAAAGTTTGTATCTTCACTGGATCTGTGTATATAATTATAAGTAAAAGTTTCTGGAACTTATGATTTGTAGATAAAGAGATTATTTGGTTTTTTTTCCAAATTCTTGTTCCTTGAATTTTTCTAGGTAATGTATATGAATTTCATGGAAAAATTTAAAACATTTCAATTTTTGGCATAAAGGAGTTCAATCAGGGTCTGGTTCAAAGTGCTATGTTAATATTTGTGACATTATTATTATTTTACACTAAAATGTAAAAATATGCTCTATTACAGTAGTTGTCATTCAGATAGTTAAAGGGAAAAAATGTGAAGGAGTTTACACAGATTATTTCCATAAGCCAGGTCTGGTGGTGGCTAATACTGCTCCTGCACATTCCTTGGGTGGAACACAAGTTACACGTAGCTGCAAGGGAAGCTGGACAATGTTGCCTAACATGAGAGTCCATGAGCAAGAGGGGAATGTGGTTTTACCAAGGAGAAGTCTGTTAACCCCCAAACCCATCCTTAAGCTCCTAGATATTCTTGTACTCCCAGGATAGCGACTGGAATAGTGAGACCAAGTAGCTAAAATACATGTGCAATATTTTGTGTGGCCTACACTTTTCTGTTTTGTGAAAGCCTTTTATAGGAAAATTCTTATAAAATCATAAAAATTAAAATAATTTGATCATATTTGTTAAGTTTTTTAAATGTTTCAGAAATGAAGGTGCTCAAGAATTCATAAAAGCTTAAAAACATGGGCACGTGAAAATTAAAAATGTCACTTCTCTCTACATATGTGTGTATACATATAGAAAACAAGGCAGCAAAAATGACAACATGGAGAAAATATCTGCAAACTTTTAAAGAAAAGGACACTGTACTTTACTTAACAGGTGCTAAAACAAATCAGAAAAAGATAAGCTACTCAATACAAAAATGGACAGACTGAAAGACTTTACAGAAATGTTCAAGCTCACAAAATAGGTGCTCAACCTCACTCATTATGAAAGAATGTGTATCAATAAAGTTGATTATATGTACTGCAGAGGCACTATTTCACACTAGATGATGAAACGCAGATTGGGATAAACTTTCAGAAGTAAATCCCTTAGTACCTGTCAAGTGATTCCATTTTAAAAAATGTATCTTACAGATATATCTATATGAGCATAAAAGACAAATACAAAAGATTTCTATTATGTAATTTTTTTTTTTTGGTACTGGGGATCGAACTCGGGTCCTTGCGCCTGCACAGCAGGCGGCGAAACCACTGAGCTAAATCCCCGGCCCTGTACGTCTATTTTTAAACTTACTTTCTAAGATATCAAAATAATAAATACAAATCATAAAACATGAGAATTCTAGATTATACTAGACAAAACTATCCCGATAATAGTGTAGACAAAAAAAGTTTACATTTTACTATCTTCATTTAATTGTAATGATTTTTTTATTAGCAAAAAAAGGTCAGGCAATTTTTATAATAAAACTCACCAAAAATGTTGGTCTTCACAGTAAGTGCAAGATGAGTATTATTCCTCAAAATTTCAAGAGCCTTCACAAATGTAATATTCTCAAAATTTTGTCCATTTACTTCCATTATCTTAAAAGTATTTGAAAAATACAAATTAAACCGTGTTAGTTTACATCTACAATCTTAAAGTTTAATAATGAAAAAAATAAATAAAATGTACCATATGTGAACAACAACAAAAAAATCACTATGAGAAGGTGGACTACGGTTTAATTTTTCTTTCCTATATTGGTATTTCCCCAAATCTCTAAACTTAGGATATTAGAGGGCCAGGGATTTAGCTCAGTGCTTTTGCCGCCTGCCTTGCACAGTGTTTATTTATAAATGAAGATAAAATATCAATCATGTTAAATCAGCTCATAAAAACTTCTGCCTGTGTAAGAATATATAAATTTTAGTCAAGTAATTAAATGTAAATTTATTGGATTTCAAAGTGAATGAATTAATTTTAGAAGCAGCACTCTAAAGTATATTTATTGTTTGGGGTTTTTTGTTTTTTTTTTTTTTTTTTTGGAGACAGGGTCTCACTATATATTTCAGGCTGGCCTTGAACTTAACTGTGTAGCTCAGGCTGGCCTCAACTTGATGTGATCCTCCTGCCTCAGCCTCCCGAGTGTTGGGATTATAGGCGTGCACCCCCCCCCCCATGCCTGGCCCATTCTAAGTACATTCAGTGTATTTTGCTGCCACTGATCGAATCAGTGAGCCAAACAAGAAGCAGCACAACTGAGATGGGTTTCCTTTTCCCATGTGAACACTGCCGACCCTTCAGAGTGGGGACTCCCCAGTGTAGCTACACATCAGAATCATACAAGAGGCTTATTAAAAAAATTTCAAGGGAAAAAATAAACATGATGAGAAAAAAAATAAAAGCAGCGAAGAGTGCAGAATTAAAGGAATGACACAAAAATTCCAAAAGGATAAGAGTATAAAACAATATATTGGGAAAGGAAAAAGAAAGGAATGATACGGAACCAAAGGCCATGCTTGTGAAGATCTGTGTCCACAGACTGAGGTGGCCAAGCTGGTACCATACAGGCGACAAAATAAAGAGGCCCACTTTAACACAGGCCAAGGAAACTTCTCAGTCCCAAAGGCAGACAAGACAAATTCTATCAACAGTGGTATGGAGTGGGGGAAATCAAAAGTGTGAGAGAGGCCGGGGATTTGGCTCAGTGGTTCTGCTGCCGGCCTCATAGGCACAAGGACCTGAGTTGGATCCATGGTACCAATAAAACAAGTGTGAGAGAAAAATAAAGACTGATTTAGACTTCTTTTGGGCAACACTAAGATGATGTGACATCTTCCTGTAACTTTAGTGCTTTGAGGAAAAATCACCGCTACTAGGGAATTTCATATACAAAAACACTTGAAGAACAAGAAATACTGTGCACTGACTCTAGGGTCCTGGTTATTAGACACTACTCATGAGCAGTCTGAGTTTAGACTAGAATTCTCTATTTTTTATAAGTTTCATTAGGGAAAGAAGGGAATTGTTAATCTTACATGAAAATAATAAATCACTACCAATGTCTCATTTTTTCTGGTCCCTTGCCTGCTCACTTTATGAGTACAGTTATGGTACCATATAAACACTAAAAAAATTATGTAAGCCTACCACCTTTTACGGTAATCTTCAAACATTTATATTTGAAAATGCTACAGAAGAGATGGAAGTGTCTCCTCTTTCAAAACTCCTAAGGGTGCTAATTCATACACTCACCTTTCTGGAATATTATGAAGTCGCCAGATGGTGGTTTCCTAATCTCTGTGGGATGGGTTGGCCCATTCAAAGGAGGTCATGCTGATGGAGCACAGTGGACCGTGCTGTTTCTGGCCATACTCTATCAAATTTTCCACTAAGGTAAGGTAACAGCAAGTAAAGAACTCATTATGGCCTCCACAGTGAGTTCAAGCCCAGCCTAAACTACATACGAGCAATGTGGTTTAAAAATAAACCCTATTTAAATACTACCTATAAAAAAAGCTCAGAAAAAATTTCCTTCCACAAGTCATGCTCACCTGAAGAAATATCAGAGGAGAACAAAAGTAGCAGACATACTTTAAAAAAAAAAAAAAAAGAAAAAAAAAAGCTTTAAGTGGTAGGTTATTTACTTACCTGGTCACCACGTTTCAGTCCTGCATCAGCAGCTTTGCTACCAGGTTCAACTCCTTCAACAAAAATACCAAATCCCTTTTCACTTCCTCCACTGAGGCTGAAATGCAGAGGCGACTCACGGGAAGTCTTTTGCAGCACAACTTGTCTCCACTTAGCCTTTGCAGCACAGGCAATATTCAACAGCCGGAGATGACCATTCATTTTCTGAAAAGCAGAAAAGGGTAAAATGCACAAAAATCTATCTATTCCTATAGGCTTCTAAAAAATCACCTAAGTCATTAGAGTATAAACATATAAACGATACAGACCATGTGAGCTGGGATAAACAAAAATGAGGGAGAAAAAAATAATGAGGGAGAGGACACTTCCATCCCAGAGTACTTTCAAGAACAAGATGTCTTAATATGACTTTTGAATACTTTTGGACACTCACAGGTTAGAAAAGATTTGATGGCTTATTTACAGAGGAATGACAAAAAATTACTTCTCACTCCCTGAAGCTCCTCTCTTGCTTATGTTCTGGCTGGTGTATAAAATCAAAATGTTTCTAAACCTTTATTTAAAACCTTGAATGAATGACCTGAACCACATTTCCAAATAATATTTCACCTTCTAAGGAAGACTTCTTATACTATTATAGCTCTTCCTTAAACTCAATAATATTGTAACTTCCAGGTTTCAGTACCAGTTTAATATTCAATTACTCTCAAATAATGTAAAATGTAAATCTCACTTCCCTAAAAAAAGCTGCCCCTCCCTGATAAAGTAAGTTTTATGCTTGTTCTGATCCCACATAGCTCTTGGATTACTAGAATTCAATAAATACTTGATCACTGACTGTTTACTGGGGAAAAATAATTCTACAACTGTAAGGCAGTTTTCACATTCCAACGTCCCTTGAATGTTTACACAGCCAGCACCAAAAGAGCCAAACGATACTGGTGTCCCTCCATTTAAGTTCCCCCATCCCTGTTCATTTTCCCCATTTTGTGTAGAGCAGATACATTGTTGAGTAGTTTACAGGAACCAAGGGGTAAAGACAGGGACAAAATGTGCCAATTTTCTCTTCTTCATTAAACTCAATCCACTTATACTCTGAAGACTACAGCCCTTGAGCATTTGCTATTTGTTTTCAGATTGTTATGATCATTAACTCATTATAATCCTCATACACTTTCCCTGAATTAGAAGCTATCTTTCAACTAAGATAACTGAGGCATAAGGTTAGACACCAATTCATATATCTAGCTGGTGGTGGAGTTTGATCTTAACTCAGGCAATCTGACTCCTGAGCTATACTCGCAACCCACTTTGTTGAATTATTAACATAATTCCTAAAATTTCAAATTGGAGCCAATGACCCACTCACAGCTCACTTTTATATCTGATAGAATAAAAGGAATTCACCAGTAGCTCCTGTGGAAATAAGAGGACGTTGAGGGAGCTGTCTTAGGTGCTCTATATTTTAAAAAGGTGAAATCACACACAGCAGGTAAAACCTTTCAAAGTCTTAACATAGATCTGATATATAAATATGCATTCTAAGTTCCAGTTTCAAATAGCAGGACAGGAAAGAGAATTCCAGTGTGGTTGGAGACACAGAACTGGCAAAGAATATGCAACAGTCTGGTTTGACTATAATCTAGTGTACACAGGAAAAAGTCTAAAAATGTATATAAGGAACACAGATACACAGGAACTACTTTGGTAGGAATTACAGCTTGCTGACAGACAGCCATACGCAATATCTACAGTTTTAAAACTATTTTTTGTTTCACATATAATGGACTAGAAGGGAGGCAAACTAGACCGAAGATCAGTTTAAGATCAGTTAGCAGGCTACTGTAACAGATTGGGTATAATAAAAAAATGACCTAAACTACAGGTGGAAAAGAAATGGCTGAGAAGAGATCATAAGCAGATATGTATATGTGTATGCCTAAGCCATGGAGAGGGAGAACTTTAGAAACTGACTGGACATCTCGGCTACTGAATTCAAGGAAAAAAGAAAGGGCGTCCCATATACAAGCCTACTATTTATAAGCCTAGGAAACTAAAAGATAACAATGTTATTAGTCTTAAACAGAAATGAAAGAGTTGGGAGGAGAAGATTTGTTTGGGTTGAGATGGCAGAGGAAAACAAAGGTCTGCAGGACAGATCTGAAAGCTTTCAGAATGAACGGACAAGACACTAAAAAAATGAAAGTTGTTCTTCTGAGCTGCTGTTCTTGCTGAGAGGTAGGGAGGACTCCAAATTTTAAAAATGATAAAATCTTTTGAGCCTTACTGTATCCTCCAGATTTTTTTCAAATTCCTCTAGAAATCGAGTCATGGCAGGATCACCTTCAAAATCATTAAAATGATTATTTACCCACAATAATACAATCCGTGTCACCTGTGGAAACACAGAGAAGGTAGCAAGTGTTTATGAGAGGCATTCTTTCTGCAAAGTAGACTTCAAAGGCATGTTGAAAACTAAGGAGTAACTGAGCTCTACGGCTAGCCCCACGTCCAACTACTTCCCTTCAAAATCAAGGCTCCTTTCACTGTTCAGTTTGAATTTCTGCTTCCTTGGATACACAAGTAACAGAGGTAGGACTCTACACTCAAAGAAGATAAAAGTTTTCTTGTGTACTAAAACGTAAGAAGTACAAAGGACGATACATCTTAAAATATAAGCTTCTATTTTTTTTCTTTCAGTACTGGGGATCAAACTCAGGACCTTGCACTTGCCAGGCAGTGCTGGCACCACTAAGCTATGTCCCTGGCCCTAAACTTCTATTATAAATGCAGGCGATCATATCAATCAAAGATCATACTAAAGTGTTTCTATACCCAAGAACATGTTTAATAATAAAAACTGTAACAAAAGGGCCGGAGATGTAGCTCAGTGCCTGGCACCAAGCCTACCTGGCAAAGCAAGGTCCTGAGTTAGATCCCTGGGTTCCAGGAAAAAAAAAAAAAAATTGTAACAAAATACTGACAAATTTTAGATGAGATTGGCGCTGTTCAGGGTGGTATGGCTGCCCTAGACAATACTGACAATTTTTAAAGGGTAAGCTGGTCACTTTGCCCCACTAATTTAAAAAAAGAGTTAAAGATTAACAAATGTTAAGTGATTTGCAAATATATTCTGTCATTTAATGTGTTGTCTTGGGTTTCTTTTTTTTTCTTGGTACCGGGGATCGAACTCGGGTCCTTGAGCTTGCTAGGCAGGCAGTGAAACCACTGAGCCAAATCCCCGGCCCTTGTCTTGGGTTTCTTGATCGTGTCCTTTCAGGCACAAAAGATTTTAATTTTGATGAGGTCCAATTTATTTTCTTTTGCTTTTGCTTTGGGTACCGTATTAGAATAATCACTGCCAAATTTCGGGTCACGAAGAATTATTCCCATCTTTTCTTTCATGAGCGTCATAGTTTTGGCTTTTATATTTAGCCCTTTGATCCATTTTGTGCAAATTCTTATATATACTAAATGGGTCCAATTTTATTCTTTTGCATATGGCTGATTATTGCTAAATTTGTTCACTCTCTAAAATGCCTTTATTTCTCAGCAACTGAAATAACTATATTTGATTCCAAAGGGGGAGGGGGCAAGCCTGTTGTTTCTGACACCGCAGCGTTCTAATGACCAATATCCATCATATTTCCTCATAAAATGCAACTGAGAAAGATAGTTGGAAATTGAGATCCTATTTTTTACTTTCTTAAAACATCTTACTTCCTATCAGTTTGATGAGGTATTACTAGTCTTCCCATTAAACATTCAAAAGTACTCCATAAAATAATATCTATTTAAAACACCAAAGGATGTTTAATGAAAAAAATTACATAAAGGAAGATTTGACATAGACACAGGAGAAATTAGGGTTTAACAAATGTCTGTAAAGTCTGTAATTCATAAAAATTAAGATATTCCTTAATCTGAGGTTGAAAATAATTTCTCTGGGGACTACTCTATAAATTAGTAATCAACAATAAAATGTTTTATTAATTTCCAGAAACAACCCAATATATTAGTAAAATTACAAAATACTATCATGCAGCTATCATGATTTCTGCATTGCTGTACCATGGCCCATGTCCACTTTTTTTGTTTTTTTTGGCAGCACGGATTGAACTTGGGACCTTGCACATGCGAGGCAGACGCCAGAACCACTGAGCCCGATCATGTCCACTTTTAACAGGCCATTCTGTCCTAAATAAGTAAGAAGAGATGTATCTATGCTAACATTCATTTTTTAGGTGAACTGAATTGTTATTAAAATTAACAATCAAGGGCCGGGGGTTTAGCTCAGTGGTGCCGCTGCCTGCCTGCCTCACAAGTGCAAGGTCCCAAGTTCGATTCCCAGCACATACACAAAAAAATTGACCATCAAGCTGGGTGTGGTGGCACACATCTATAATCCCAGCATTTGGGAGGCTGAAGCAGGAGGATCTCCATGAGTTTGAGGCCAGCCTCGGGTACATAATGAGCTCAAAACCAGCCTAAACTACATCCAGGGACCTTGTCTTAAAAAATAAACTGAATGAAAACCAACAAACAAAGGGCCAGGGATTTAGCTCAGTGGCGGCCCACCTGCTTCACAAGTGGAAGGTCCTGAGGTCCTGAGTTCATCCCTGGTACCGCCAAAAAAACAAAAACAAAACAAAACACCAAACAAACAAACAAACCTATCAACTGCAAAAGGTCTCATTAGTAAAATTTAAATGTTTAAATCACTTTCATGTCCTTTATAAAAACTAACCTTATCTCTCAAACTGTCAATCTTAAACCATTCTAATAGCTTGATTCCAACATCCAAAGGACTTTCAAGAAATGTCCTGTAAGTCAACAGAAAATCTTCTATATAAGTTGGGTCCACAATAGAATGTTCTTCTATTAAATGCATGATGAGACGCTCAGGTGTTGCCTAAAAATACAAGGATAGAAAGGATTAGGAAATAAACAAATAGCTTGCGATTCAAATAACTCCTCTGTAGATATTCCCTTAAAACTAGTCCCCAGAGTAGAGTTTCCCTTTCAGATCCTTAGTACTGGGAGCAGGCAGTCTCTTTAGTCTGTAATTCAGCAGCACCCAGAGGTTTAGAGTGAGAAAAGGGAGAGAGGAGTAAGTACCCAGAAGCATTACTCAGCTATACCTGGTTCCACTGTCATTTCATCACAGAAGGGCCTTTGATTTATCCTCTGTCAGCCACCTCTGTTAAAACGGGGGGCATGTAATGATTGTCCAAGACAAAAGGAGGAGGAAATGGGAGTTAAATAAGGAAAGAAAAAAAATGAGAAGACAAAAAACAAGCTTTCATCCAAGTTTAATCCAGTTAAATTTTCTTCTACCCCAGGCTATAGGAACAATAGGTCACACAAGATAGCCAGTTTTACTGTTATTACTTCCTTGAATAGATTACTGTATTTCCTCTTCTATAGTTTCTCCCTGCTGGTTCACCATCTTAGGAGGAACCAAGTGTCCTACAATAGCTTTTACATTCAGAGTTTAAAATGCTTGCCTGTCTCCCAATTTATAAAAGGAAGTATAAACATTTCTCATTGCTCTTCTTTGAGCTTCTGAATCAATGTCAACATTCACCAACCAGCCTTTGTGATTTTTCGTATGTAGCACATATACAGAAACAAACAAAAAATAAAACAAAAAAATAAACCAGATGTTAAGCCTAATACAGACACTAAGTGTTGCTATAGCCCAAAAGTTCAACTTGTTCCATTCATCTGAACAATTCTCTGTTCATAATTAACGGTACAGTAGCCAGGGATTTAGCTCAGTGGTTTCGCCACCTGCCTGGCAAGCGCAAGGTCCCAAGTTCGATCCCTGGTACCAAAAAAAAAAAAAAAATGTACAGTAAACATACATTAATGCTAAAAATGTACTACTCTGAGAATTTATATTTTTATAAAAAGATACTCCCTGCTAACAAAGTATATACATTTTTTCTCTAGAAGGAAGACAGAAGTAAGGCTTTTGATATAACCTGCTTAAGCGACAAGGACACTGTCCATTACTCCTCTTCTCCTACCCTCCAAAACACTCTGAGCCTAAGAGTATGAACTGGGTTTATTATTCAGATCATTCACTGTTTTGGGTCACTTAAATCTGGTTCTTAGATCATACACAGCGAAGTCAGGGGTAGGAACTGGTCTGCATGAAAGACAGTCTACATTCTGATTGGCTAAACCCACGGAAGACTACACTAGACACTGAAAACTTTCTACAGATGAGCCCCATAATCATGTAGGGCATGTCACCAATGTGCTCACTAGCAACCAAAGAGGTAGAATCTTTGGAGACAAGTTGCACATAATGGTAGCAGGCAAAAGAGATGGCTGGTGTAGTTATAGGGGCATGGTAGAGACTGATCACAATCGACAAATAAGCAAATAAAGTACAACAACAGCAGCTTCTGGAGAAGGTATTTACAAACACAAGAAAACGTTAGAGAAAACTTCTGTAGTAAAGCACTGCAAGGTGAAGGATTAGTATGAACTCATGGTTGTTACATATTATATTTCCTAGCTCTGTCTGATTAGGGGATCTAAAAAGAACACTATCTCAGCAGCAATAAATATAGTGAGTACCCAGATCTTGGTATATAAACGCTATTCTTCCACTGGAAGGATCATGAACTCTTCAGAGAAATGGCTGATTCCAAAGCTAGAGCACAAAGAAAAAGTTCATGTTGAGCTTTATTATATGCCAGGTAATAAGGAAGTACTCAAAGAAGGACGTCAAAAGAATGCAGGAATCAGCCTGAAGGTCTCCCAGGCCAAACGTTAGACAATTTGAGCATTAAGAATAATATGGTAAGGGAATACAACAGATGAGTTAGCTAATACAAATAAATTAATACAAGGAAAGCTTACCCTTACAGAGTGAGAGTAATAAATACAGAAGACATTATAGAAACAGGGCATCACCATTTCAGGCAGAAGTACTGAACAGCAATAAAAACTGGTGGGTAATGGTTTAAACCTAGTTGTTACCATAAACTGGAAGCTGTATATTGACATTTTCACGCATCTCTCTGCCACGCATGCGTCATAACAAAAAGTCCAATGGCGACTTCACAGTGGAGCGGCCCTGTGGATAGGCATCGGCAGGACTAGGCCACCAAGGTTAACTTCAGCAGTGGCTGGACAGATCAACACCCATGCTGCCAGAGGTGATGCAGCGAGGAGAGCTCATCACCATCCTGGTGGAATTCCTCCCAGGGAGGAATGCCTTCAGTATGATAATGAAGAAACACTGGACAGATCCAAGCACAGATATTCTTTGTTTAATGACTGGACTTATGACTTTTTTTTTTAAACCGTTCTGTACATCTTGTTTTTTTTTTTTTGGTACTGGGGGTCGAACTCAGGTCCTTATGCTTTCGAGGCAGGCAGCGGAACCACTGAGCTAAATCCTCGGCCCTACAACTTGCTACTAGAGCCTCAATGTCTCTTTTTGTACAGTACAAGTTGCTTACTAGCATATGATTCTGAAAGAGTGATAATGGAGTAAATGCAATGAAATATTAAAGATAGGGGACTAGGGTGTAGGGCGCATGCCTGTAATCCCAGAACTCAGGAAGCCGAGGCAGGACTTTGAGGTCAGCCTGAACTATACAGTGAGACCCTGTTTTAAAAAAAATAAAAAATGGGCCGGGGATTTAGCTCAGTGGTTTCGCCACCTGCTGCGCAAGAGCAAGGACAGAGATTCGATCCCCGGTACCAAAAAAAAAAAAAAAAAAGAGGGGACTCTGACTGAGTTCGCTGTACTGTTCCTGCAACTTTCCAGTAATTTTGCAATTATTAAAAAAAACAGTCCCCAGAAAGAGATGAATGAATTGACATTTTTGAAAAATGTGCCATGTGTGATGGGTGCCACAGGCCTGTAATCCCAGCACTCGGGAGGGTGAGGCAAGAGGACGCTTGTGAGTTTGAGGCAGCCTGGGCAACACAGTGAGTTCAAGCCCAGCCTGAAGTATATAGTGAGACCCTGTTTTAAAAAAAAAAAAATGTGTTAACCTATGGCAGTCTACTTATCTCTTCATCTGTTTTTATATACAAAGCCTACACTAATCAGTTAGGGAAAAGAAAGACAGTGCTGAGGAAAAGCCTGAATACCAAGGCACAGATGGGTAAGACATCAGATTTAGATATCTCTCTGATTTATTTTCTTCACTATTAAACTGCTCAATCTATAACAAAGAATAACATACTTATCTTGCAATCAAGACTAGTTTGAAAAGAAAAAGTTATGCATTTATTTATCTCTTCTCTTCTACCTGTAATTGCTCTGTTTTATATCCAGAGACAAGACAGAAAGCAAAGAGGGGGAATGGGATAAAATAGAATAAAATTTATTAAAAAAAAAAAAAAAAAGAGGGCCAGGGATTCAGCTCAGTGGTTCCGTCACCTCACTCCGAAGTGCAAGCACCCAAGTTCGATCCCCGGTACCCAAAAAAAAGAAGGCGAGGAGTAAGGGAGGGGAAGATTAGAAGAGAAACCAATATACTATAGGGATCAATACTCAAGACTCCATAATTGTTTTGTTTTTGATTTACATCATTTAGCCCTAATAAAGCCCTTCTGCACTACTCCATTTTCAGAAAAGAAAAGGGAGATTTGAGGGAGAAGCCCTATTTTCAATGCTACAGAGATGCAGCAAGGGCTCTGCATCTTAATCTAGGACTCCTTATGCCTTTGTGGCTAGTCTTTGATTTTCTGTTATTTCTACATGTAAATGAGACCAAATCTCCACTATCAATGAATTATAAAATACATCTGAGGAAGAAAATATTTTTTTTCGTACCAGGGATCGAACTCAAGTCCTTGCGTTTGTGAGCCAGATGGCAGAACCACTGAGCTAAATCCCCGGCCCTGAGGAAGAAAATATTAACCAATATATTCTTAAATAATATCTTACAATGCTGACACTACACGACAATAAGTCACCTTTCATCATTAAAATGTGTACACCTCAGCTAGACAAAGGCAAAAAAACCAATTTTTTAATTTAAATTAGATTTCAATATACTACTGTAGTCAAGTATCTTGCTCTACTTAAAAAAAGTGGCTCAATTTCTTTTTAAAGTCAGATAAAAAGCTCTATTTAAAAAAGAAAAAAAAGCCCTACTCTATCGAAAGTAATAAATAAAAACACTCACCTTGATTACAATGTGTCCTTTCCTCGTTCCACTCCGGTCTAACTCCCGGTGCTCATGTACCATAACAATTTCTCCCTCTTCCTCAACTTTATGGGTATTTTTTTCCACATGATTTAAAATTCTCCAATAATCCCGCTGGGCTATGCACACAAACTGCCCAAGAACAACATGAGGACAATTAATGAACCTATAGTACATAAGTACATCACTCTACACAAAGGCAGAGCACAAAGGCAAAAAATCAAGTGGCATCAGTTCTTTTTCATTCAATTCCTTTAATCCTTAATAAAAATCAAGGTGAAACAATTTGTGCACTAAGAGATCAAAAAAGTCAACTGTTTGAATTCTGCTCCAAATGCAGAAGTATCTACTTCTTCCCAAACTGACACTAATTGCAAAGCAGGAGTAAGTTAGAAACAAACAACTAAGTTCCTATTTCTTTCTTTTGTTTAAAACAAAAAAGACTCTGAGTTGGCTGTCACATAAAAGCTTAACAAACTAGAATTTATTTGGCACATTCTCTTAAGAACGTAAAGCTTGTTAAATTCTGCAAATATGTGATGCAGATATAAAATCTAGTTTCCTTTATTAATTATCTAGCTACTAAAATTCCTAATTCTCAAACAAAGTCGTTATTTTGAGGGGAAAAAAATATAAAAAACAGGCACAGCCATTTAAAATTAAACAAGCAAGAGTATTTGAATGAAGAGACCTTACCTGACAATCATCTACTTTAGTCCTGACAATTCCATGCATGTACTGCTTATCCAGAGTGGGAGTAATTCCAAAACTATTTCCCATAAAGAGATTTTCAACTTTTCCATCTGGATGACTAATTTCTACAGTGCCGTTCAAAATCACATACCAAGAGTCAAGCTATAGAAAAAAAAAAGTTTTAAGAGTCTTTTAAAAAACAGCTAATGTTAGTAAGAATCTATCAAAATATGTAACTTGCATGATTTTAAAAAAAAGCAGATCTAGTTCTATATTGTTAAGTTCTCTGTCAATAGTTCTTTTGCCTTGTCTATGAAAATTACTGAAGTTTATTTTATTCTTTTTTTTTTTTTAGTACCAGGTATCGAACTCGGGACCTTGTGGTTGCGTGGCAGGTGGCAGAACCACTCAGCTAAATTCTGGGCCCTTTTACTCTTATTTTAGTCAGCAAAGAAAATTAGGGACTTTCATAATTGGCCAGATTCTTGGAGGCAAATACAATACCTTTGGAATCTTAATCCATATCCTGCCACTAACTAGCTAGGTAACTTTTGGCAAGTTATATAACCCCATCTAGACCTCAGTTTCACCACCACAACAGTTTCTATTATAGGACTACTTACTAAGTTAACAAAATGAGTTTCTAAATACATGCCTACAACAATGCCTGGCACTGTTGAATAATCATTCAAAAAAAGAAAAAAAGCTAATGATTGAGAAAGACTAGTAAAAGTCTAAATTTAACAAAATAAAACATTCAAAATTTCTCCTAATGTTGAAAAGACATTGCTTTCATTTATATGGAAGTATCTGATCCTACAGTGAGATATATTTTTAAAGATCTAATGTGTATGAACAAAAGACTATTTTTTCCTCATTTAATAGCCCACCCCTTTTATTAGCCCAACTTTCAATAATTTTAATGTGATATAAGGAAAATCCAGGATTGGCAGCTTATCAAAGATTACCAGTGGCAACAAAACATTTTTCAAAATTTCACTTTTTTGGTTATTTTAGTTATATAATACATTCACTGTTGAACTTGTGTATGACATAAACTACTTGAGACAAGAGACTATTTCTGATTTTTCCTATTACTGTATTGCTGTGTTTAAAGCAGCACCTCATACAAAACTGACACACAAATTTTTGCTGGCAGAACTGCAGAAAATTAAAAGAATATAAAATCTTATGGAGAAGAAAGTAAAAATCATTTAAAATCCTACTGTATACACTGGTAAAAGATTAGTTTACTTCTTGCCAATTATTATTTAAAATTGTTGATATACTTGCATTATCCTGCCTTTTTAAACAAATTTAATACTGTGTTCATTTATTCATCAAACTTTTGAGGGAACATATCCTATATGTCAAAAGTATTCTAGGATATAAGAAGAAAATATGTAAACAATGCGAGAGAGAAGGCCCCTGACCTCAAAGAACTTTCCATAAAATAATTTGAGAGCTAGACCAGCAGCTCAGTGGTAGAGCACTTGTCTAGCATGTTCAACCCCCCTGGATCCATCCCTAGCAGTATAAAAAAGAAAAATAAAATGAAATAATTGGAGAATCTGTATAATATACCTTATGCCATATAATGATTTGGTGTAGTAATTGTTGCCTTTTCTCAGATTATATGTTGGTCACATCCAATTTTTACTATTATAAATATACTGGAATGAACATCTTTTGATATGATTGAGGTTTTTTTTTTTTTTACCAATGTCCTCAGGAGAAACACTAAGTCAAACAACAGGTCAGAGGCTGTGAATATTTTGGATTCTAGGCACATTCATATATAGTAACTCATTTTGTTAATATAGTAGTCCTATAATAGAAGCTTGTTATGGCCATTTTAGGAGTGGTTAAAAGTTTCTAAATGACCTATATCAATTTGTAAATAACAATGCCCAGTAATTAACAGCTCAGCATTAATCTTTACTAATTTGATACCAAAAACAGTGAAGCATTTCCTAATTTCCTTGCAATCCCTTTACATCATTTCTATACCTACCTACAAGATGCCTTCTGACCATTTTTTTTTTTTTTTGGTACCGGGGATCGAACTTGGCTCCTGGCGCTTGCGGGACAGGTGGTGGCACCGCTGAACTAAATCCCAGGCCCCCTTCTGACAATTTTTAAACAAAACTACCACATAAATATCTCAAGTGGCCACGGTCCACTAGGAGGCACTGTTAGCAAGATGCTTCCCTCTTCTTTTTAAAAAAGGTATAATATAGAAAAAGTGCATACTTGAGAAATAAAAACATCTGATTTAATGACTATTATTTATTGAGTATCTATTCTGCCTAAAGTCCATTGCTAGGAAATCAAATTTAAGATAAAGAAACCCAAAATCTTATCTCTTCAGAAATTATGACTACCCTAAACCCAGAAATTTATTTAAGATAATTTAAATTTTAAAAGTCAAGATTTATTTAAGTTTATGGTAATTAAATTCTTCTAAAAGTATAATTAATAAAAATTAGTACCCATATTAAATAATATGTGACACACTACACCTGCCTCGAGAGCATAAGGTCCTGAGTTCGATCCCCGGTACCAATAAATAAATAATAAATGAATGAATGAATGAATGAATGCATGACATTTATCTGCTAACCTACCTCTTGCCCATCTTCAAGAATAACAGCTCCAGCTTGCTCCACCACTTCAAAAATCATCACTGAGCAGAGCTCTCTCCTTACTGACATGGTCATGTTTGCAAAAGCAGGGAGCTGGTGCATAAACTCAAGTAATTGTTCTATGAAACAAAGAAATTCTAGTGTAAAGAGAAGCAAGAATGACATACCTTAAAGATAGAACAAAATTTAGAATTCAACACCCAATATCTTAATTCAAATTAGGAATTTATGCCGTTAAAGTACAGAAACCAAGATAAGGGCCAGGGATTTAGCTCAGTGGTTTCGCCACCTGCTGCGCAAGCACAAGGACCTGAGTTCGATCCCCGGTACCAAAAAAAAGAAAAAAAAAGAAACCAAGATAAAATATGACTGTTGATTTTAAAACATCAATTATGGTTACATGTATGTTCAACTCGCATATAAATATAGGTATACTGGAGGGTACCAGAATTCACAATCCCCAGAGAGAACCAGGTTCAGATGAAGACGAAGAGTTTATCTAATTTGTCTAGCCTAAAAAGCCACCCTAAGGTGGTTAAGTTTAGGGACACATTTTGACCTAGAGGGAAAACCTCCCATCTAATCTGATCTGGGTGGAATTTTTTCCTTTTTTAATGCTATAATACATGTCAGTAAGTACTGAAATTAGGGACAACAAATGTGAATTCCAGTTCATTCCTTAACAACACTCTTTAGCTAATAAATGTGTATGGGCTCTGCAAGCCATTTTTTGGTATACACATATGAGAAAGATAAATGTAAGGGAAAACACACATAAGTTGGCTAGAGGCTTCAACAGAAAGACTATGAGAAGCTATATACTACAATCACAGATAAGTGGAAGCAAATATATTTCAACTTTTAAAAAACTTTCTGAAAATAGCACAATATATAATTCTTCACTAAAAATGCACTTTCAGTTTTCTGTCCAGGTATGTTAGTGCATGAGTCTAAATTGCTGGTTACTTAACAATATCATGTCTCCAGAATATCAAGAAGGTCAGGTGTGGTGGCACATGCCTGTGTGATCCCAGGACCCTAGAGGCTGAGTATCTCAGTTACTTTTCTTTCATTGCTGAGATAAAATACCCCCACTCAAAGTTAAAGGGGGGAAGGGGTTTATTTGGCTCATAGTTTGTAGAGGTTTCAGTCCATAATTGGCCAGCTCCAAGGCAAGACGGCAGAGGGGCAACAGTTCATGGTGCTGGAAGACAGCAAAAGCAACAAGGAACCTTACCAGCATCTTTCTGTCCCTTTTATCTTATTCAGACTACTTAGGGCAGGTAGCACTCATGCCCTTAATCCTAGTGCCCTTGGGGCCTAGCACCACCATGAATCAATCACACATTCTAGATTCAGGCATCTCTACAAAAGCATGAAGTTTGGAGGGACATCTAAACAAAAGCCATTACATTCCACCCTGGCTCCCCAAAGACTCATGCAAATCTCGTCGTGCAAAAAAGCATTTAGTCCATCTCCAAGAGTTGCCAAAGTCCTAACAGTTTCAGCACTGCTGAAAAGTCCAAGTCCATAGTCTCTGCTGAGATTTAAGGCAAGGCACAAATGAAAAGGAAGTTAAACACTTCCAACATTCAATGGCACGAGATAGACATTTCCATTCCAAAAGTTACAAAAAGGGATACAAAAGAATGGCACCAAAGGAAGTCCAAAACCCAGCAGGGCAAACATTAAATCCTGTAATTCCACTTCCAGCATCACCAGCAATCACCAGCAATCTGTGGCAAATTGTGAACTTCAAAGGGCTTGGGAGGCCCCGCCTCTATGGCTGCAGATGGTTATGGTTCCCATAGCTTCTCTTTTGGGCTGGTTCTGCTCCCTCCTTGCAGCTTTCCTCAGATGATCCATACTCCTGTCTTCAACCTTCTGGGGTCTCCACTGCACCTTCAGCTTCACACTCAGCTTCACACACTGCCCTCTCAGGGGCACACTGCCTGGCCTCCCAGGCCTTCTGAAATCTGGGTGGAGCCTTCTTGACCACACAATTCTTGGATTCTGCATGTGCCTAAAACCAGCACCATGTGGATGATGCCAAGGTCTGCTGCCAGCTGGAGCAGGAGCTAAGCTTCCCTTGGCTATAGAGTTCGAATCCTGAGGAACAACTTTCGGGGGCAGCTGACATTCTGGGACATAGTGCTCCGAGGCTCTGTTCTCAAAGCAAAGCCTTTCACTTTTGCAATTTTTTTTCTTTTGGTACCGGGGATCGAACTCGGGACCTTGCACTTGTGAGGCATGAGCTGGAACCACTGCGCTAAATCCCTGGCCCTCACTTCTGTAATTTTGAGACTGCAAAACGTGTAGTTCTGTTGCTTCTTGTGATGCTCTCAGGCCAACTTTTCTATTGTCCTTTTCCTAAATTCTTGGCTTTTTAATGTTAATCTTTTCGGCAACCAAGTTCTCCTCTGTTCTATTTTTGCAGGCCTCACCCTCACTGAAGTTTCCTCTCTGGCCAAACTCAAAAGGTTTTAAATCATTCTGCTGGGCTCTTTGCTTGATTCTCAACATAAATCTGAATAAAAGCCCCCAACAGTCACCATGCCACCACCTCAACATTAGACTACCTTGAAATGTCTTCTACCAGATTAATTAGACCACTCCCCTAATCTCAGTCTCAAAGTCTCTGGACACGAGCAAAATGCAGACAAACTTTTGGCCAAGGCATAACACACATCATCTGCCCCAACGCAGTCCTTCCCAGCAGAAACCTCCCGAGCCTGGTCTTTACTGGCTTTCTGGTCTTCTGAGCTCTGACCAGAATTTCCCATACAGTACAGCCTAAGGTGTTCGAGCTCTACTTCTTCAGCCGGAGTCTCAGAACCTTTCCTAACTCTTCCCTTTCCCATCAAGACAGTTCCAAAAGCTCTTGAGCCACATGACCAGGTAATGTCACAGCAACAACCCCACTGAGGTAGGAGTTCGAGGCCAGCCTGAACTACACAGAGAGACCCTGTCTTAAAAAAAAAAAAAGCAGAATGCCAAGGACTATTACTTTATTAATATATGTTATGACTGCCAGTCATCCTATCATCGAATTTGGACAACAATATGACTATTATTAAATAAACTAAGATAAACTGTTAACTTTAATCATAAAATATATAATGACACTGTTATACTTTATATGTAGATGTCCCCCCAAAACCTCATGCACTCATAGGTGGGGCTTTTGGGAGGTGACTGGATCATGGGGTGGCTACTCCTTTGTGATTTGTCCACTAATGAGTTTATAACTGTTTTTGCTTTTTTTTTTGGTACTGGGGATCGAACTTGGGACCTTGCATTTGTGAGGGAGGTGGCAGAACCACTAAGCTAAATCTCCAGCCCCCAAAATAAGGTTTTGTTTTGTACCAGGGATCAAACTCAGGACCCTGCACTTGCAAGGCAGGCGTGGTGCCACTGAGCTAAATCCCTGGTAAGTTTATAACTGTGATGTGGGGTGTGGAGCCTAGGGAGACGAGGTGGGTCACTGGGGGTGGCCTGGAAGGTCGATCTCCCTCTCCCTAGATCTCTCTCTCTCTCTCTCTCCTTCCTGTCTGCCATGCCATGAACAACTCTCTGCCGTGCCACCTTGCCTTGGAGCCAGCCTACTATCGACTGAAACCTCTACAAACCTCCTTTAGGTTGTCAGTGTAGAGTACTGTGTCTCAGGAATGAGAAAGTAACTAACACAGACACTAAGTAATCTTTAACATCAACATCTTTAGTATTCAATTTTCCAATCGCAGTACAGAAACAAGTTCTGTGAGAAATTACATAAAGGGATTTGTATAAAGTTTTAACCAAAAACATTCTAAGATATATGTGTATGTTTTCTCAAGCGAGGGAAATAAAAATATAATTTCTGAAAAATTTTAAAAAGTGTATTCATAACACACTGGACATGCCTGAACTGTTGTAAATAGCCTACGACATGAAGGGAAAACTCAGTCTAACACAATCTAAACTTTTGTTTTATAATCTGTGGCAGCTACTTTCAAGGATGGTTCTTGATGACCCTGGTCTCCTGATATTCTACCCTTTAGAATCGGTGCCTCCCATGCTGAAGCAGGGCTGTTTGGTATGACAAACCATTGGCAGAAGTGATGGTGTGTCACTTCCGAGGCCAAATCATAAAAGATACTGTGACGTCTGTCTTATCCTCCCACAAATTATTTGCTCTGGCAGAACTCTTTCAGTATTATGTAAGGACACATAAGCTTTGAAAGCCCCACATGATGAAGAAGGAAATGAAGTCTGCTACCAAAAGCCATGTGAGCAGCCATCTTGGATACATATCCTCCACAGCTCAGCCCGGTGAGGACAGATGACTGCAGCCACTCTTCACATTCTGACTACAAACTTATGTGAGATGCTGAGCCAGGAGTATACTGTTAAACTGTTCCTAAATTCTCAACTCACAAAAATAAAAAAATGTATGTTGTTTTATCCATTAACTTTTAAAGTAAGTGGGAATAGGTAACTATATAAATTAAGTTATACATTCTTATGTGTACAGATATATTTCTTACCAATGTCATCATCTGTTTTGTCTGCAGGTTCTTTTTCAAGACATTCTCGAACAAAATCTCGCCCCTGCAATGGATCTGTTCGATCAATTTCTTCCTCTTCCTCTTCTTCATCCTCAGAATCAACAGGTCCTTCTGGAAGCCGTGTTAAATCTACATCTCCTACCTCACTCTCTGTAGCCTGCCGAAAGAAATCTCAGTCATTTATCATTTTATGCTAAAACAGGTCAGTGTGAATTAACCAAAAGTACTCCCCCCTTAGCAAATATTATAAAGGATTAGGCAACAATGTATGTTGTATTAAGGATACAATGAGGGGGCCAGGGATTTAGCTCAGTGGTGCCGCAGCCTGCCTTGGAAGCGCAACGTCCTGAGTTCAATCCCCAGTAATAAAAAAAAAAAAAAGAATACAATAGCAGGGCTGGAGATTTAGCTCAGTGGCACCATACCTGCCTCACAAGCACAAGGTCCTGAGATGCCTAGCATGCAGAAGGCCATAGGTTCATTCTCTAGTGCCAAAAACAAAAGTATAGTGAAATGATATATAGGCTTGCCTTTCCATAATGTAATATCTAAGTGATTTATCTTAGCCAGTAAGTATAAATTGGTCAGGAGACTCAAACATCACTAAATATTTTAATTGTTTTCCAACAAAGCACTTGTATTTTTCTTGAAAGTACCAAGCTTTCCAAAACATAAAGGGCAAGACTGAAGTATCAATACATGCATAAGTGTCAATTTATGCTGGGTTAGTGAAGAGATACTTTTTCATCAGGACAGGTGTAAAGTCTAGCGGATAGGTATTCGTGTGAGTTAAAAACAGAAGTCTGCATGAGCCAAAATAAACCTCATCTCCTTTAAAAAATAAAAACAACTCTGAAAAACGGTATAATACTGAAAAGTGCTACAACACACTCATCATAAAGGAATGAATACCTACCATTTCCCAATCATACTGTTGCATCTAACAGTACAAAGAGCTGAGATTAATCTTTATAATAAACCTAAACAACTCTGGAAACATGTTAGTGTCAGATCTAAGAAAAGAACTAGTAGACTCTTAAAAACTATAAATTAAAAAGTCACTCAAAATAATGAAAATTTAAAATAATATTGTCCTTAATTATTAAGCAGCATTTCTGAATATGATTTTTGTTGTAAATAAAAAAGCATGATTTTTTTCTTTTTTTTTTTCTTTTGGTGGTACTGGGGATTGAGCTCAGGACCTTGTGCTTGCCAGGCAGGCGTGGCACCACTGAGCTACATCCCCAGGCCAAAAAACATGAATATTAAAGAAATTACAGAAAAATGAGTTGAACATACAAGAATTCCGTAACAAAAAAATAAACACTCAAATAAAAGCGCAAGGACCCGAGTTCGATCTCTGGTACCAAAAAAAAAAAAAAAAAAGTAATAGTAAAGATTATGAAAGCTTCATCCAAATACAGTATTCATCTCATTTCCTACTCTCAACATTTACTATTTTCTCTGCTCAAAAGGGGCTCTACATTCTTTTGGGTACTGCCATTTTTCTCTTTCTAAAACTCAAGATTCCAGTGGGAAACAGTGTCCTGTTCTGTAGCTCAAAGGTACAAAGAAGGCCAGGGATTTAGCTCAGTGGTTCTGGCGCCTGCTTCACAAGTGGAAGGTCCCAAGTTCAATCCATGATATAAAAAAAAAAAGGTACAAAGAAAATTTTCTCTGGATTTTTATAACTGCAGCTAGAAGTGGAGCATTTTTCTTCTCTGGTTGCTGGCTTAAGGACAAGTCAGAGAAGACAACCTATGGCCACATGGAAATGCCTTTGTGTGGTGGAAGAAAACAGAACCAACACCCTGAGAAGGGGCAGGGAGGGGAATGGTAAGGAGGACAGTGGGCAAGAGACAGAAATGGAAAGAGTTGACACAGACAAAAAGATACAAAGCAACAGAAATACAGCATGCAGGACAGAGAAAGAAAGAGCACATGTGTAGTCAAGAGCACTGAGACAACCACAGTCACAGAGAAAGAGAAAGAAAAGCAAGCCATAGGGAGCCAAAAGATCAGAGAAGACAAGACAGGGGTACACATTTGTAAGTATCCAGGCTCCTTGAGGCTAGAGCCGACTGTGCTTTCTCTGTGGTTCAACAAATTATCCTTTTGGTTTTTGTTAATTTAAGTTACTGCACTGATACCTGCCACTGAGAGAGCTCTAGTTTTTGCAAGAGCATGACTTGTATTTCCTTTGGAGTTTTGCACAGCTTTAAGTAATAGCTGGTTAACAATCTGAACCAAATACCTAACTTGAGATCTTTAGTATTAGATAAGCTGACTTTTAACAGTCTGCTATGGTCTGCATATTTGTGTCATCTTAAATTTCTGTTGTTGTTTTGTGGTCCTACGGATTGAATCCAGGGATTTGATATGCTAGGTAAGTGCTCTATCACTGAAAGCACTCCCAGACGGCTTAAAATTCCTACACTGAAATCCTACCCTCAAGGTGCCATCAGGAGACAGGGTATTCGGGAAGTGATTAGGCTGTGAGGAACACGATTATTAGGTAATGAGAACCCTCATGAATGGAAGATTAGTGCCCTTATAAAAGAGGACACAGCTAGACAGCATCACCAGTGAGCCAGAAAGAGGGCTTTTACAAGATACCAAATCTGCTGGCACAGTGATCTTACACTGTTCAGCTTCCAAAACTGTGAGAAATAAAGTTCTGTTTATAAGCTACCCAATCTCTGATATTTTGTTATAGAACCTAAATGGACTAAGACAAGTCATATGGGAGCAATCCTATCTCATGACTGACTAGAACGCTCTTATATGGAAAAATGGGGAAACTCAATAAAGAAGTATAAATTCTAAAATGGGTAAACATGAAGAAAGGGAAACAAAAACAATACAAACTGATGTAAAGAGAGGGAGGAAAAATTAACAGAATCCTTGAGACTAGCATGATAATACCGAGTTGGTACAAAAACATGTGAGCCATGCTCCGTATTGATTAAGGTAGGCTACGTAGTTGGCCTTTCAACTACTTTATACTACCATCTGGACACAGTACACCCTCAGAAACATTATGATGCATGAACTAAGCCCAGGGGAAAAATATTGGTGATAGGACTAATAAGACAACTTCTTGTGTTTTTCTTTGCCTGTCATGTGAATGCATTTGTATATGTGAGAATATAATTTGTCTGAGACAGTCTGGGGTAATTTTCTGATGACTTGGCCTTCCCCAAATAAACTGGCAGAGGACATTATTTTCCTGTCTGTATCTAAATAAACATGAATCTACAGTAAGAACCACCACAGGTTGAAATTCTGAGTTAAAAACCAAATCTTCAAATTTAGGTCAAATATTAAATAACAATTTTATACTTTCAATGCATCTCTTCTGTATTCTTTTTTTTTTTTTTCCTGGTACTGGGAATCAAACTCAGGACCTTATGCTTGCTAGGCAGGCGCAGTGCCACTGAGCTACATCCCCGGCCCCTGTATTCTTGCTTTTAGTATTTCATTCAATGTTCTGCATTTCCTCTTTATCTTCTTGGTCAGGGCAAGAATCCTGTGGAATCAGTTTTTTACAGTTATACAATCTGGGATGGTCTATTATAAATCTACACAATAGTGCAGACAGGCAGGCAAAGTAAGGATGCCTTTGCTCTCTATAAGAAAGTTTAGCTTTCTGCATTTTCCTTGGAACCAATATTTGTTTTTACTTTTAACCAAAACAAAAACTATAGATTATTTCTTCAGTTCCAATACTGTGCTTGATTCAGCATGAAATATAAGAGGAATATATAAACTCTCTTCTTTTTTTTTTTTTGGTACCGGGGATCGAACTTGGGTCCTGGCGCTTGCGCAGCAGGCGGCGAAACCACTGAGCTAAATCTCCGGCCCTAAACTCTCTTCTTTATAAATTTACTTTCAGGATGTAAAATGACAAGTTTGAAAGTCACTATATAAAAGCACAATGGGAAAGTGATATGATCCACAGAATAATAACTGTTCTAGGGAGGGAGACCTCTCTTCCTACTGGAAAAACATGGAAGATAAAAATGAAAATGTCATCTAGGTAGTGTTATAGGTTGAGGAACATAAGTACAAAAACAGGGTAGGAAAAAAGCAAGCACGTTTGAGGAACTGTGTCTATTTGTCATGGAGCAGCATCTAAATGTTTAGGAGAATAGTGGAATACAAAACTAAACTGCAGATTGTGGAAAGAGGGGAGAGGCTTGGAACTTGTAGGGAAGAGTGTAAATGAGATAATGGTGACACACTGAAGCTTCTATTTTGTTCTTGTTTTGCTTTCGTACAGGGGCTCAAACTCGGGACCTTGTGCTTGTGAGGCAGGCAGCAGAACCACTGAGCTAAAGCCCCGGCCCCCTACACTGAAGCTTCTTAAAACAGAGAAGTAATTAGAGCCACAGTATTCTTGTGATATATTTCAAGTGGGAGCTTAACAAAAAGAGAATGTAAATCCATGCATAGCAGCATACACCTGCAATTCCAGCATTCTGGGAGGCTGAAGCAAGAGGATCACAAGTTTGAATCTCACCTGGGTAACTTAGTGAGACCGTTTCAAAATAAAAAATAAAAAGGACTGGGCATGTAGGTCAGTTCAAAGGTCCTGGGCTCAATCCCCACCCCACCCCATACATTAATAAAAAGATAAAAGATTTTTGATGAGGACATAGATAATATTAACAGAAATGTTAAAAATGTATAAGTGAACATTTGATGGGGCAAGGCCAGTAAAGGTGACATGAACATAGTAGTGGAAATGTGCTACCTCAGTTCTACTGAGATTGGCGCTAGAGTTGTGAATTAGGAAACTGTTACAATGAAGGATTTTTACGGAGATAGTTACCTATTTCTTACATAGAAACTAAGAAAAATAGGTGGGGGATGAATGTGTGCCACAGGGTACTTAAGGCTGAGTTAATGAAAAGACAAATCCTTTTGTTCAGGCATCAATATTTCACAATTTTCTAGCTCTCAAAAAAGGCTGAAACATAGTAAATAGAAAACAGAATCTAGGAAGAAGCATCTATTCTCTTGAGCCGTCTTTGACAACGCATAAAACATTCTCTCCATGAATACTGTAACATCTTAATAGATACTTTTAAGCTAATCTGAATAGAAACATGCTCAGAATAGAGCCATTACTACTTGTATTTTTCTCCCTAAATACCTCAGATTGAAGTTTCTCTGAGAGTCATGAGATTTTATTTTCTTTTTTCCACTTTTCTTTTTTGGTCCCACGAATCAAACCCCAGGCCCTGTACTTGTGGGTAGGTCCTGTGCCGCTGAGCTACATCCCCAGCCCAAGAGATTTTACTTTTTAACCACAAGGCACAAAAACTCTGACAAAGGAAACAGGAATACAGCCATATATTTGCCTATATAAAAAGTATAAACAGTTTTCTTGCTAAGAACTATTAGGATCTCTCTCTTACCTCTTCCCCTTGATTCTCCAAATTAAACACACTTATATCATTTCATAAGGTTTTCCTTACACTGATACAGGCTATGCATTTACATTCTAAATGTCTAAAATGCTGAAATTCATATAATCACACAAATCAACTGTATTAGCAATGTACACCTGTACCTAAAGGGTATACTCAGAGCTTTAACAAGTACTGCAAAGGCAGCCTGAGGTAAAAGGAGATATTTCTTTCCTCTGCGCCAGCTCCAGGATCTGGTGGAAACACACACACACACACACACACACACACACACACACACACACACGCGCGCACGCACTTTGAACTGTATTATTTACTTTATCCATGGATTTTTGTGAATTGTAGGTCTAGAAAGTCTGCATTTTTAGAGTTATATTATTATTTTAATTCTGTTCTAATTCTTATCTTTTAAAATTATTCCTTTAACCTTTTCCTACATTTTTTTCCATTTTAACACTACACTGTTTAGATCCTCCTTAAGATTTGTCAAATATACAAATAATAATGCTCACTTAGGGAACATATTAAAAACTACCCACGAACCTACCACCAGAATAAACACACTGGTAACAGTGTGGTAATCTTGAATTCAGACTTATGGTATGTGTATACAAATATAAACACATTCATGATGAAAACACACACGACCTATATGCTAGTTAGCAGTGCAGTGCTTATTTTCTTTTTCCTCCTTCTGTTTTTACTTTAATCTTTATGGTGTTTATACTTTTTGGCTGTTACTCCAGAATTAACTGTAAAAAAGAGTTTGAGAATTTTTACATTCTTTGGTTACTCTTAAAAAATTTTATCTTACATTTTTGCATTTTGACTTTAGCACTATCAAAATTTTTTAATTTCTGCATTCCTATTTTGGTTTTAGAAATTTCAATACTTCTATTACTTTTACCTATTCACTTTCCCTAAATTAATTAAAACACATTCACATGTCGCACTGCACCATCTTTAAAAAAAAACCTGTATGATTCTGCTTATGTGACCTTCTGGAAAACGCAAAACTGTAAGGGCAGAAAACAGACCGGCAGTTCTGAGCGGTGGAGGGGCTATGAAGAGGGATACGGTGCTTCCTGAGGTGATGGAACTGTTCTATCTCTTGAGGTAGGCTACCCTAGAGGAGGGGGTGTTAAATTCTATGGTATGTAAACTATACATCAATCAACATGAGACACACACATGTAATTAATCGAGCAGGGACAATTGAGATAACTTGGCTCTGAATGTGATGTCTGCAAGTGGAGAGCCAAATACAACTCTCCATTTCCTGGGTATGAAAGTATCTTCCGGACTCTTTGGATCAAGCAGGATGGCTGGCAGATATACTACCTATGCACAGCATGTCCAATCTTAAAATGAACCTCTTATAAGGCAGAATGAATTGTAGAGTGCTAGGAGAACTGCAGTGCTTCAGAGGCTTCTCTAGCATCTTTGTAAAGATACCAGTTGTATACAGCCCATCCTCTAGTTCATGAGCCTTCATAACTGCCCCTGAGTATCAGCCTTTACCAGATCCTTTTATCCCTTCTCTCACAACTATCCAGGGATCTGCTCTTTGCTCCAAAAAGGTAATCACAGGTTCCAAAGTTTGTCAATAGCATTTCTCTGTGTACAGTGTCTCCTAGAGATCCAGACATTCCCACTAACCAGAAAAATTTACAGCCATCACATACATCCCTGGACTTGATTAATCCAAGGTTCCTCTCCTGGAGAAACAGAGCTCTACTTTGGTTTTTAGGTATGTAACTCTTACTTCTTCCATAGGATACTTCTTTTGGGGAAGAATTGGGCTGGGGATCTAGCTCAGTGGTTCTGATGCCTGCCTTGCAAGGGGCAAGGTCCCGCGTTTGATCCTCGGTACCAAAAAAAAAAAAAAAAAAAAGAATAGAATGCACTGAGTCCAAAAACTACACAAATACAGTAAATGGCTCCAGAACCACTGTATCATCTTAACTTTCCTTTTTGGAAAAAAAAAATTTTTTTTATTTGGGGTAGGGTCTTGATATATAACCCAGACTGGCCTTGAACTCAGGATCCTTGTGCCTCAGGCCTCCCAAATGTTGGGATTACAGGTGTGTGCCACATACCTAGCTTTTCAAAATTCCTTGTTCCATCTACTATGAAATGACAATCAGGGAGATTTAGATAGCCACAGTAATGACTTATGGTGAGAAAAGCCACACATTAACCACAAAATCCAAGTTGTCAACCCCTCCATCTTGCCTTTACCTAGAAGCTTCCATTTCGAAGAGGAAGGCTGATTTTCCAGAAGTATCTAAAAATGGGTATCTCAATAGGACCATAGTCTCAAATGTTTTTCTCAGACAATAAGGAGCTATTTCTACAGACCTATAATACTGTATATGTCAGGCATCAGACACATGTGGCTACTGGGCACATGAAATATGTTGGTCTGAACTGATATGTATTGTAAGTTTAAGTTAAACTGTCTTTTGAAAACACACAAAACAAAAATGCAAAGTAACTCATGGTGTTAACATATTGATTATGTTGAAATTGTAATTTCTGGATACACTGTTCTAATAAGATATATTACTAACATTAATTTTACCTGTTTCCTTTTATAAAGTTTTGTTTTCCTGTTTCCACTACAAAATCTGAAATTAAACATGCAGCTTTCATTAAGTTTCTTTTAGTCCTTACACAACGCATCTAAATTCTTGATTAAATCAGCAGTCACCACCAAGTACACTCCAGTTATTTTATCAAAGATATCTCATATTCCACACCCATAATCTCCGAGAAGAGCAACCCCTGGGCCCCAGGACATAAAGCGCCACTCCCAGGAAACAGCTGAGCTATCTTACACTGATGGAGACATCACAGAAATTTCATTATCAGGATGGTGAAACACTGCATGGGCCTGAACCTAATTTGGGTTTGATGTCAGCAGGATTGTGTGAGGTTTCTATCAGTATATGAGATTTTCCAGACCTCTCTTTCTATTATAAGATCACTGAAACCTCAGGAGGTTAAATTTCTATTGGGTTCTTAAAAATGGAAAAGTCCATAAACATACTATTTTCTATTTAATTCCTACTACACGACAATAATAGAGGGATCACAACACAAAAGCAACTCTAATTTTATTCATAACTTCTAAGTATAGAAGAATTAAACAATTGTAATAAAAACCAACATTTTATAAGCTGTAGTTGTTTCACACACCATCCCCCCTCTTTGGTGGTCCTGGGGAATGAATCCAGAGCCTTTGCACTGAACTATATCCTCAGTCCTTTTATTTTTAGCTATTTTTTTTGAGACAGGGTCTTGCTAAATTGCCCAGGCTGGGCTTAAATTTGCAATCTGTCTGTCTCAGCTTTCCACAGTGTTGAGACTATAAGGTGTGTGCCACCACAACCAGCTCAAAACCCCTTTTTTAACCAAAGAAAGCATTATATATTCAAATGGATCTACCCAGGTAAGGGAGAATACTGTAGGCATACTGTTGAACTATACTGAATCCTTCTCAAAGGACAGATTACCACTTTAATGGGGTTTGCAAACTTGAAATAGTATGTACAGGGATACTTTTCCAAAGACCATATGCTTGAATTTCACACCCTAATTTAAAGGCACATCACCACGTAAGGCTTAGGCACAGGAGGTTTTGTCTAGTAAAAACTATTTGCACATGATACGAACTCCAAGATTATTATTACCTGATAGATATCAGAGAGACTGCTGCTTCCAGAGTCACTGGCAATGCTGCACCCAGACTGACTAGAAGTCACGTGAGTCACCTGAGGATGAGGGCTGTCTGTGAGATGCATCTTGGTAAGATCAGCTGGGAGCTGAAAAAGAAAAATACTCTGAGTTGTCCTAAATGTCAGTCTTTACCTTTGTAAGGAATTCCTGACATAATATAACTTTTTGTTTTTGTAAGACAGGGTCTTGCTATGTGTTTCAGGAAGGGCTTAACTCACCATGTAGCCCAGGTTGGCCTCAAACTTCTGGTGATGCTCTTGCCCCAGCCTCCCAAGTGTTGGGATTACAGGTGTGTGCTACCACACTCAGCTTGAAATTTCACTTTCTATGCTAAAATTGTCATTCTTACCAAGTCTTTTGAAGTAGTAAGAACCAAGGAGTATTCTCTAAAAGTATTAGGCAATCCTAACAGTAACAAGCCCATTGAAAAGTTTTCAAAAGAGAATGCCATTATTAATGGTAGTTCTGAAGGAAAATTTGGCCCCTTTCTCCCAAATAAAAATGTCAGATGTTTCATTGTAAAGGTTAGGTATGTTCTGAGCATGAGCGCGCACAGACACACAATCATTCATACATAATGGTGGATTACTCTACAATAAAAGATTGCCCTGGATTAAAGCACAGCACAGGGGAGTAGGACTTAAATAAAAAGTTGACTGTATTCAATATCTCCCAAACTTTATAACCATCTTTACACTTAATATTGTATTATTTCATAGCTGGAGCCTGGGAAATTTATTATGATCAAAATGATTTAACAAATACCTGTGCCAGGTGCAAGCATATAAGAAAAACAAGAAAGAAATCCATCACTCCATCTTTAATATGGTCACATCTTTACCAGGGATGTATATACCAGGGATGCAGATTGTATAATATATTTCATACCACAAAATAAAACAGACATCTCATAAAATAATGAGGTAAGACAAGAAACAAACCACTGCACTACGGAGAATCTCTCGAGAGTAGCGAATGTTTTATAAAGGTGGTATGATTACGTTTTTTCTGAATAATTTCTTTGGTACTTGATATTCAGGGCCATTAAGAGCGGTCAATTTATTTTTAAAAACAATGTTTGGTTTCACATGGAAAACATTAAAGGAACACACAACTAGTATAAGTTAAATATATTCTAAAAGAGAAAATGTTCAAATCTGAATTCTACATAATCTGTACCAAGAGGAGTTACTCTAGTTACAGAAACTACATGCAAAGAAATTAAGTCATGAACCTCCCCAATGATAATGGTGGGCTATGTAACTCAGGTGAATCCTGTATTTAGGAAACGAAAAACCTAAAACCCACACTGCACACAAGGCAGTGTCTGGCCTTCGAGGCTGCTCCCCCATTCCCCTGGAAGAACACTTTCTGATTCCTAAGGATGCTCACAGGAACAGGCTGAAAGGCTAAAGCTGGACTCTGAGGCTCACTGTGGAAGGACCATCTTTTGTTGGAAGCCTGGAGAGTAAGTGACACTCTAGGAGTTAAGTGTGACCTGAAAGGAAACTTATTTTAGAACCATCGCAATGCCTGGTGCCAGGTTAAGCTTGTACTGGATTGTTAATGCTTCCACTCTGCTGTTGGAAGCATGCATCCTTTTCGTATGCTTTTATCTTCTTTACAAAGCCATTTAAAAATGTAAAACTCATTCTTACTTCGTAGGTCATATAGCTTAATGGACAGATTTGGTCCACTTTAGTGATCCGTTACACATAGAGAGCAAAAAATAAGAATAATCTCGGGGGAAAAAAAGGTAACAAAGAATGAAAATTCTAGAACCAAAAAATACAATTATAGAAATTATAAAGCCACAAGATGGGCTCAATTAACAGACCTGACAGGGCTAAGAAGAAAATTATAAAAGTAAACGCTAGTCTAAAAAAAAATCCAGAATGGAGCATGGAGAGTAAAGAAAGTAAAGACAGAGGAGTCGGGTTAGGAGCACAGGAGACATGGTGAGAACATGACGTCCAAACAACCAGTCACTGAAAGAGGAGAGAGTGTTCAAGGCACAGAAGCAAAATGATGGCTGAGGATTTTTCTAAACTGACAAAAAGAGATGAAGTTCCTTATTAAGAATTTTTAAATTTGTTTTATTGTTTTGAGACAGGGTCTCACTATGTAGTTCAGGATGGCCTTGAACTACTGTAGTCCAGGCTGGCCTCAAACTCTCAGCGATCCTCCTGCTTCAGTCTCCTGAGGGCAGGGATTACACGTGTGTACCTCCATGCCTGGCACTCAAGGAGTTTCAAAAACTCCCAGCAAGATGAATATCAACAAAACTATACTTATTTACACCAGGGTAAAACTTTGGGAGAAAGAAAAACAAAAAGACATTTTGCCAACTAAAAATCATCTGTCAAATCACTGAATTCTGTTAATAAACAAGGAGTTCATCAACTGCTCAGAAGAGACAAAATTAAATTAAAATTTTTTTTAAAAGGAATGAAAAGAAAAAGATGAAAGCCTTAAAATTAGGAGGAAAAATTGAGAGATCATGTAAGAGAAATAAAATTAAACTGATGGCTGATATCTCAACAGAAACTCTGGAAGCTGGAAGATAGGAATGATTATATTCAAAAATTACAATTCTACAGTCAGCAAAATAGGCCCTAAAAGGGAGGAGAGGAGCAACAGCTGGGCTTGGTGACATGCACCAATAATCTCAACATTCTCTAAGGCTGAGGCAAGAAGATCCCAAGTTTGATCACAGCCTAGAAGCTTAGGGAGACCTTGTCTCAAAAACTTTTAGGGGCTGGGGATTTAGTTCAGAGGTGCCTTGCCTGCCTCTCAAGTGCAAGGTCCTGAGTTTGATCCCGGTACCACAAAACAAACAAACAAACAAACAACTCCCCCCCCCCCTCAAGCTTTTTATAAAGGGTTGGGGATATAGCTCTGTACGAAGATCCTGAGCTCAATCAGTACTGCAAGGAAGAAAAAACAAAGGCAAAAGAGTTATTTTCAGGGAAACTAGAGAAAATTATCCTCCAGCAGACTTACAACGAAGGTCAGCTGTGAGGAAAAAAAACAGAATAATGACTTCAAACAGAAGCCCCGATGTAGGGAGGAGACCAGTGAGAACAGCAAAGATGTGGGTAAATCTGCATGTGCAATGGTGGGATGAAACAGTAATATTAACGTCCACTAAAGTTTTGTGTTGTTTTTGTTTTGTTTTTTTGGTGCCAGGGATCGAACTCAGGACCTTGCGGTTGTGAGGCAGGCGGTGGAACCACTGAGCTAATCCCCAACTCCACTGAAGTTTAAAATATTTGAAGAATTAAAATGCATTACAACAGAATACAAGTCTAGAGAAAAGTAAATGAAGCTATTAAAGTATTGCATGCGCCTTGCACTACCCATGAAGCTGCAGCAGCAGACTGGCAGAGGAAGGGTGCATGTTAAAGTATGATTTAAGAAAAAGTATAGTAAAAAAAGGTATATAGCCAATAACCCAACATAGAGAATATCAAATAATAAAAGGTTGGGAAAAGGTATATCATGGAAACACAAAACAAAAGAAAGCTGATATAGCTGATAAAGCAGACTTTGAAGCAAAAGCATTAGTAGAGACAAAAGGGAACATTTCATAATGGTAAAATGTACAACACTAAATACATACATATCTAGAAACAATGACTCACAATGTATAAGGTAGACAAGGCATGCACAGGGAGACAAATGCTGTATGATTTCTTTGTATGAAGCAGACCATAGAATGGTGGCTACCAGATACCAGGGAACAGGAAGACAATCAGAGTATTATTATTATTTTTTTTTACAATGCCCTGCTTTCTACCAGTTCATGAATTTTTACATTTAATTGGTACATTTTAGGTGTACAATGACATTCATCATTGGAAATTTGCACCTTTACATAATCTCTCTTGGTTATTTTTCCCCATTCCCTGCCCTCCCTTCAACCCTTCCATCCCTCCCTATTTACAAAGACTTTGTTTCTGTCTTTTCATTTTCTCATCGTAATTCCATTCCCTTTTTTTCCTATCCCCTACCCCTCCCACTTCCTCCCCCTTTGCCCCTTTTCTTCCTATTTCACATTATCTATTATATCTTTTAGTCTTTATTCATACTTTCAGTTTCTCACACTAGAGAAACTATTTGGTATTTATACCTGTGTCCTGTTCATTTCACTTGAGAGTATCAACTCAATGTGCATCCATTTAGCTATAAATGTGTCTAATTTCTCTCTCTCTCTCTTTTTTTTTTTGTACCGGGAACTGAATTCGGGTTCTTGTGCTTGCGCAGCAGGTGACGAAACCACTGAGCTAAATCCCCGGCCCTAGTTTCTCATTTTTTATGGCCGAGTAGTACTCCATTTTAGAAAAAAAAAAACAACCCACATTTTCTTTATCTAGTCTCCAGTTGATGGGCATTTGGGCTGCTTCCAAGTTTTAGCTATTACAAATTGTGCTGCTATGAACATGGGTGCACATATATCGCTGTGGTGTGATTCTTTTAATTTTGGGGGAAGATTCCCAGCAAGGCAATAGCTAGGTCAAATGGGACCTCCAGTCCCAGTTCTTTGAGGTATCGCCATACTGATTTCCACAATGGTTGCACCAGTCTACACTCCCACCACCAGTGGAGCAGGGTTCCTCTTTCTCCACAGCCCCTCCAGCATTTGTTATTGGTTGATTTCATGATAGAAGCCATTCTTTCTGGGGTGAGGTGGAATCTCAGCGTTGTTTTTATTTACATCTCTCGAATGACCAGTGATGTGGAACAGTTTTTCATAGGTTTATTTGCTATTTCTACTTCTTTGTCTGAGAAATGTCTGCTCATTTCAGACCCATTTTTGTCTGCCCATTTTTGGATTGAGTCTTTAAATTTGGGAGGTTTGATTTTTTTAAAATTCTTCATAGATTCTATATAGTAGACCTTTGTCTGAGGAACAGCAGGTGAAAATTCTTTCCTACATTGTGGGTTCTCTCTTCTACCTGTTGGTGGAAATTTCTCTTGCTGTGCAGAAGCTTTTGGGTTTCAACTTGCCAAAGATTAAAACTAGACCTATATCTCTCACCATGCACTAAACTAAAATCAAATGGATTAGAGATCTAAATATTAA